GCAATCCCGCTTGGGTGCCCCCTGCCGCGATCGATTGCCATGTGTGCCGCCTGACGCGACGCAGCTAAGAAGCAAGCCCAAGCCCGGGGCATATAGTAAGACACGTCTTGTTCTTCCAGCCTCCCACGCCCCCCCTTTTTTTTGCTTCCTAAATCGCCGGGAGGTCTGAGAAGCTTTGGATGGTCCTTTGCCTTGCATTTCGCCCTCGGCTCTTGCATCAAGCGATGCATTATTATTATTTGTTTTCAGAGCTCTCAGGCTAAGCCGTGGGATCATCTCTGGGTGGCGTGGCGAGGCGAGGCGTTTCTTTTATGTGCTGGAGCTGCTATGGAAGAAGGGGGGATCTCTGTCTCTCTCTCTCTGTCTCTCAGGCTGTGTGGGTGTGCCGCCTCCTCGCCCTCACATATCCACTGTATGTGACAGCTAGGTTGGGCAATGGAGCCCGCAAGGTGTCTGTCATAGACTGCCGCTCCAGTTGTTGTGGCTGCACTCCAGAGCAGACCTTTGTGTGCTACAGGTGTGATTTCCTTTCTCCTAATCAGTCAATAATTGAATCCTTGCACGGGGGGGGGGGAAGGGGAAGGAAACAAGAACTGGAGCACGGAGTAATTCTCTGGGTGGCCTGCCTATGTGGGACCTGGGATTGTGTAGTTTTTGCCCAGGGCATCCTGTCTTCTTGGCTGAGGTGGGATGGATGTTGGATGTGCAGCTAGTGATTTCAAGGGGTGGTGGCTCTTAGGAGGTGGGCGCTGCCTGTGGTAGTTTCCTGGCATTCATGCATGCATGCATACAGCTCAGGTTCTCCCATGTCCCCATCCACAAGAGGAAGGTTGACAGCAGTCGCCATTTCAGTCACCCTGAAGGGGGCAACAGGCTGCCTTGCTTTGCAGAGAGCTCTCCCTCTCTCCTGCACTCCTTGCAAGCAAAGTCTAAATGCCAAGCAGAAACCTGCCGGAGTTGGCCCTGGCTCTTGCTGCTGCTGTCTCTCTGTGTGTGGAGAAGGGAGCTGTCTATGCTGAAGCGAGCAAACTCAGCTGAGGATTAGGGTTTTAAGAGGCCCATGTAGGCTACAGGGCGGATGGTGTTTTTATTTCATCCTCCATCTGTGCAAGGCAGTTATGCTTAGTCTTAACAGTACATATTTGGAGAGGGGAGGCAGGCAGAGAGGAAGACGCGCCAGACACATCACAGGCAATTGTGGACCAATTGTACAAGAAGTCATTGCCATTTAGCAAAAAACGGTGCTGCTAGTCTAGATTAAAAACATTTTAAACAGATTTAAAAACATTTAGCAAAAAACGGTGCTGCTAGTCTATGGCCTAAACTAAATCAATGTGATTGTTTTGTTTTTATTCTTCCAGTCTATGCCTCCATGGAATTAATAGTGCATTCACTGGGACTGGGATTGGATTCATGGAAAAGAGAACTGTGTAGGGGATGTTGGGATGTCTTACTATACATGTGTTTCCTTTGCACACTTTTGGCACACAGGAAAAAAAACTGAATGAAAAGAATATAACAATTTCGTCTCCTGCACATATAAATTGATTTGGTCTGGTAGTGAAAATCTAGTCCTGAAAACCTGGGGCTTGAGAAGAATTTAGGTACAGTATTGAGGTTCTGATTCATGTGGCTTATTCAAAGCTACAGTATTGTGTTTTCGTGACTGTAAAGATTTTTTCCTTTATTGCTTTCACTCTAAGAATGTATTTATTCAAAATATTTTTAGCCTGCCTTTCCCCTTAAAAGGGACCCAAGGCATCTTATGTCATTTAAAAATACAGTATTTAAAAGGTAAAACCACTATGTTATACAAATATTAAAAAAGAATTAATTATATGACAAATGTTAGATTAAAAACATTTTTAAACAGATTTAAAAACAAAAATACAAACCATCCCATTTTAAAACTGCCCTTAGACAGCCAGTTACTAAGGAAACCCCTGCTTGAAGAGAAAGGGCTTTCCTTGCTTTCAGAAGACAGCAAAGATGGTGCCAGAATAGCATATAAATGCAGCGATTGATATTGTAGGGCTATAATCAGTAGAATGCTGATAAAGGAGAACCAGAACATTAACATGTGTGCAGTTAGTCTGGGGACCTGTTTTTTCTTGAGCAATAGACCCCTCTCATATAATGAGTAGAAGGAAGTTCCAAAAAGTTTGTTAAACAGCTTGGAAGTCGTGCATTCAAAGAGACAAACGTTAAAAATCTTTCTGAATGCATATGAAGTATTTCTTCAGCCTCAAACCTTGTTAATTATGAATTTTAAAACAAAATTTGCCTTAATACAGAGAGTAAAATTGGTGTATAATTCACTTTGTTGATTAGTATTCACTTTCCAGATTTAATTGCAAGATTACTGATTTCTCTAATAATTCTCTCTGTTCTGAATCCTTACATGTGCCATGGCATGATTTATAGTGTAAATCACAATTTTTATACCAGTATAAGGATGGCTGTGTTTTTGCTGAAGTCAAGGAAACACATCTGTGAGTTCAGTGAATGAGGCTGCTGCTTGTATATGCACTTAACTGAGAGAAAGTCCCATGTCAATTCAGTGGAAATTGTTTGTGGTTAAATTTATACAAGATGACATTGTAAAAGAATCATCCCATTATGACATAACCCTTATGCATTTGTCTCTAATTATCATTCTACATATAATGGGAGCAAGTAGTCTGCTACAAGATATTAAAGGAGACAAAAACCAAAGAATTGTGGTGGTTATTAGGATTCTATTGCTAGTCCCAGCTGGAAGAGAATTCACTGAATGAATGTGACTTTTTATATCAACATTTATGTAAGTCTCATTGAGTTATAACTTTAGTTAGAACTTGCAGATAGATTCAACCAGAAGATTTCAATTTTATTTCCATACCTTTTAAAGTAGTTGACTTGGCCAACACACTTAAGTAATGCCCTGCTCTAATGTGATACAGGCATCAGTGGCAAAATCATATTACGAAATCTCACACTCCTTGCAGACAGTGGTAGTGCAAATAGTTTCAAGAGAAAGGTGTTTGTCAAACTGCTAAAACTGTCTCAGTGGCTGTACTAAAACTAGCTCTGACATTCATGCACAGGTATAACACAGATGTTACGTTTACTTCAAATGGCAATATTAACTGTTTAAGTGAGGCTAAAACATATTGTTTGCTGTTGATTCAAGATGTATTGTACAAGTAGCTCATTCATTTTTGCTCATACGATCTTTCATTAGTGTATACATGCCAGTTATAAAACCTGCCATGATTACTAACCTGTGACATAACACTAGTATCTGTAACATATATTTTGGTTTCATAATTGGGTGTCTCAACCATATATATCAACCTGTGAGTGTAATATGTATGACCAAAATCCTTACACACGCTGATTATTTCATTGACTTTAGCAGGCCTGCGTGCAAGGCAAGGCACCCCTTACCAATCAGTCTATTAAGAACAGGACCAGCCTTTATAATTAAGCAATGTGAAGCAGCCACTTCAGACAGCAGATTCCAGATGGAATGCTATTTTATTTTCTCCAGTTACCCTCCCCTGTGCCATTTATTTATTATTTAATAAGGAAGGAATGCCATGTGTGACTTTTTGTTGTGTTTTTGTCAATATCTTAACTTAGCTTAATTGTAACTATTTTCCATGGCTAAAAACTCTTGTTTGAAATGAACATAACCCAAACAGGACATAATAACTATGTGCTATCTAGTTAATTTTGTCATATGGAGACTTTCCTAGCATTTTCTAGGTATAAAGTACTTGCAAATGTTTTACCAGTCCCTCCTTCTGGAACTGTGCAGTTCACTCAAGGCCACCCTGGTGACTGAGCATATAACCCCATCTGAGCATATTACCCATGCAGTCTTGGCTGGTCCTCTCTTGGAAGGCACAGTGAGGATTCAAACTCCCACTCCACCTCTGCGACCAGGCACTCCAGCTTACGCAGCTCTGACATCTTATACATGTGTCAGCTTCAATGAGTATCTGATGCTTCAATCTAAACAATGAATGACTTTTACACTTGGGAGGGAATCAGCATCCCTTTGGTTCCCGTACTTGTGAAGCTCTTACACATCTGAGTGCTTTCTGTAAAACACTGAAGTCCATATGGACCTTGGGACTTGAGCCAGCAATTGTAAAGAAGCCAAAACCATTTTTTAAAGTGCTGTTTAAAAACAAAGAAGACATGAGTGCTGATATTGATGATGTTTGTCTGCACATGTATGTTGATATACCTCTGCTGTATTGTAGAGATATTGATTCTTCAAATGCATCCATATTGGGACCTATTTTTCTAACCATAATTGTAACAGACTAAACAGAAATGATGTGACATCATATGTGACTTGTTTTGTTGGTTTGGAAGAATAATATCAAAACTCACTAGATTTATTTAAGCCTACAAAGTCCATCTAAGTATTTTAGAAGCAACAAAGGGTTAAAAAAAAGACAGGTTGTAACTGTTAGGCACTTCAAATTACATATTCAGCAAAGGAGATCA